TGCATTGGGCCTTGCTGGCCTTACTGAAGCAGCCTCTGCATTGTGTTGGCTGGTTTTCTTTGTCACTGGCTTTATTCCTCCCACCCCCAATATCCTGGTACATCTCAGCTTCCTTCTGTGACCCCCTCATCCATGCAAGCTTGAAAATTAGATTTAAATTGCTATCTGTATCTTCATTTCACTCTCAATATTGAAAATGTACAAGCATGAACTCATTCTCTCAATCTAGCTCCATATTTACCTACCAGCTCATTAAAAACTAGTGCTAGCACTGGAGCAAGAGATCATATATTAGAGAAGAAAAGCAATTTACTCGGCAAGTTCTTTTATGTATTCTCTGGAATGTCATAGCATAGGTTTGTCCTTGGGATAAGGGTGTTTTCTCACCCAGTCTGGTCTCTCCAGCTGTCTGATCCCTCAGTTAACTGATTCCTCTGTGCCAGTGATTTCATCCTGGACTGACTTAGTGGACAAACTAGAAACAGTCATCCAATGACTTATGTATTTGTTGTACAGGATCACTGTAATCACTGCCTAACTAGCCTTGCAAGGAAGGAGATAAATGAAGGAGAGGCTGCTGAAGAGACAGGCAACAATTTGCAAAGGGTAAGGAAGGGTATTCTGACAATTTCTACTGGAAACCTGAAATCTAAACAAAATTCCAAAGATCTGACAGGAATAAATTGACTCTTACACAGTATTTTGTTTTGTGTTACAGAGCAGAATTCAGTGCCAAGGATATTTTCATTAAGTGTCATCTAAAAATGGTGTGTTTTTCTTTTTAATTTAAAAAACATGCTTTTGTTCTACTCACAAATTTCCCTCTGCCTTTGGACATTAAAGAGTAAAAAGCAATATGAATTCCTTTTTTTGTTTATTTTTAAATTAGATCACTAGAGAAGTACACCATAGGGAAAAAGATTCTGAATCCTTCAAACTTGACTCACAAGAGTCATCTACTTTATTGACCACTGACATAACTTTAGCTAACTTCAGGGGATAAAAGAGTGAAGAGTGTTTGTTTGTTTTCTGTCATCAAAGAACTTACAGCATGGTGGGAAGCATCTGTGAACTTTTACTACTATTGAAATCTTATTTGTTTTTTTGAATACATGCAGGAGCCTATAATGCACTTGCATATAATATATATACTATTAGTATACTATATATACTTGCTCATATATATATATGTATATATATATTACTTAAAATTTTTAAATAGTATTTTATGTATAGTACATATATACACATGCATATATATGTACTATTTTTAAAAATTTTAAATAGTATATGGAGCCAGGCAGAGAATTGAAAAAGCAAAAGAAAGAAGTTGGTATAAATGAGTACATGCTACCATTTTATTGATTTGTAAAGTTTAATGTTTTTCATATGATTGGTCATTGATATTTTAAAAATTTGCCCTTTGTCTTGTTATGAGTTTTTTTTTGACATATGTTACATCTATTAATGCTATGGTATCATTCAAAAAAGACTTTATCCATCCCACAGAAGTAAATATTTAACTAATTTATATAACTTATACCTGAAATTATAATTTACATAGATTATATTTGGAATAAGTATGAGGAGAGCTAATATTGATTTTTTACAAGTTGTTGAAAGATCACCCCAGAAATAGTTATCAGACAATTTACACTTTATCTACAAATGTGAAAGCTGGTTCTATCATCTACTAAATATTTCAATATACTTAGTATTATTTCTGGGTTTTCCATTTTATTCCATTTAAAAAATCTGTCTATTCTTGCATGAATAACATGTCTTCATTGTAATTTTATAATATATTTAAAATCTCTAAATATTAGCACCCTTGAGTCGTGTGTGATTTTAATTATCTTTATTATAATTTCATGCTATTTTGACATAAACTTTAGAGTATTCTATGAATCACTTTGTCATTATGAGATTTTTATTGAATTGGGAAAAATTAATATATTTATAGTATTGAGTATTCATATCAAGGAATTCTTTTGATTCAGTCAAGTTTCTGTCATTTGTGATATCATTTTTAATTTTTTAATATATAATACTGAACATAAAATTTTCATATACACATATATCTTGCTAAGATTGGCCTTATTTATTTTTAGTTGCACAATGAATGGAATCTTTCTGCCACTATATTTCTAATTGTGATGTTGCATATGTACATAAATCATAGAGACTATAGGAGATATGTTAATTTTAAAAATGTGTATATAGAATATATTATATTCTAAATAATGTGCATAGAACATATTAATCTATGAAAGCTATTATTTTTCATTTGGCCACTTTCCATGTATAAGTAATTGATATGTTAATTAGAAGTGATGTTTATACATGTATTAAAATAATGCTTATACATGTATTAAAGCTTATCTTATACCACAGCCTTCTCACCTCTGAATAAGGATTGTTGCAATAACTTGGTGGTTAGTCCCTTGCTTCCAAATTTATCCTGTGTAATACCAAAGAGTTTTCCAAAATAATGAATATGGTATATCTGCATAGCTCCTCATCTCTATTAAACCAACTTACTCAATCTATATTCCACTGAGATCTATAGAATATAGTTTTACTTGTAAGTTAGTATTTATCACTAATTTAAGATACTGTTAAATGAAAAAAAATGCACATCAAAAATATTTAACATATTTGCTTTAATGATATATAACTTGAAAATCAACCTAATGATTATGGCACTTATTTGAATAAAATGATAATGCTAAATGTGTTTGTTGGAAACAACACAGAAAGCACTTTAGAACGTGAGTATTCTATAACCAAATAAACACCTCTCTATCAAATATAAAATTGATGTGGTTAATGTAGTGTGGGCCAGCTAGTAAAATGAGAGGTAGAAATAATATTTCTAAGGCAAAGACACACTATTGAGGATTATAGTACAATGAAATAGCAACTCAAAAAATAACTTTCATATGGAATAACTGTGAAATGTCAGTAAGCATGGATACCAAATACATTACTGAGTCTTCTGAATCACTATTGATGTTTGAGCTCTGACACTTTTGACTATAAAAATGACAGATTTATTTTTGCTTTAGAATGTCCCCTCATTCTCTCCAAGGTCTGTCACTTTGTGATGCAGAGGTCAGGAAAGAGATTGGCGCATGGGAGCAGGTACACTCAGAAAGCCAGAGAGAGCATTTGGAATAGCAAGGTCTTTATTTCACCTTCTGTGATTAGTATTCTGCCTTTATGAGGCATTGAAACAATCATGTGCAAGCAAGCAAGCTTTAAACAAAATAGTGGAGACATACACCAGTTTTTGTTTGTTTGTTTGTTTGTTGTTTAGCATTGGATGTATGAACTAACTGACTGGATTTTTAAACGTTTCAGTTGGTGCCTATGACCTCTATGTGGACTGAATTTGTATTTTCTTCTTTTGAAAAAAAAAATCAGGTACAAAACATTTGGGATCTGTATTTTTTCCCATCTTACCTTTTCCCTTTGCTTTGAGGTTAAATTTCCTTGATCATAGATCTTTGGAATGAGTTTCAAGGCTAATGTTTGTGAAACTTTTAGTTAAATTGGTGACAAAGGGTCAAAACCATGCACTTATACCATTCCCATATTCTTCCTACTCTGCGCTATTTTAGTGACAAGCAGAAAGTCATTGGACTAGAGTTGGACTTCTCCACTTGGACTAGAGTTGGACTTCTCCACTTATGACTGGCTCTGGCACTTTTCCGTATGCTTTGCAAGGGGCAGTGGCTTCACCTTTAAGGAAGTTTGTGTAAATGCTTGCCTCCACAGCACCCGGGGAGCTAGTCTTGAGAAGAAATAATAGTTTTTGAATATCAAAAAATATTAGACCAGTGTCAAGGCTGGTAAAATTTTTATCTTCACTTGCATAGATAAGAAACTAAGGCAAGTTAGGTAAGTTTTCCAGTGCTAGTTAGTAGGTGGTGGTGCTCAGACTTGAAATCAAAGGTGTCTCATAGCAAAGCTTTCGCTCCTAATCGTGCAAACAAGTTGTGTCTGCTTTCTCATTCTTCTCCTTCTTGCTTGTTTGCTCTGTGTATGCGTGTGTACTTGTGTGTGTGTGTGTAGGTATTAAGATACAGTTATAAATTACTCCTATAAATAGAAACACCACTCAGTGAACCGGGCTTACCATAAGTTCATCAATATTTACCATGATTATATGACTGTAATGGTTAGTTTTATGCATCAATTTGGTTCTAGCATAGTTCCCAGTTATTTAAAGAAATAGGAGTCTAGGTGTTGTCGTGAAGGTATTTTGAAGGTGTAAAATGTAGATGTGGATGTAGTTAATAGTCAATTAAATTTTAGTAAATGAGATTGCTCTCAATAATGCAAAGTTTCATCTCTCAGTTAAAACCTTAAGAGTAAAAACTAAGGTTTCTTGGAGAAGAAATTCTCTATCAAGAATATAGCATTAATTCCTACCTGACTTTCTAGCCTGCTAGCTCTCCCTTAAAGATTTCAGACTTTCCAGTCCTCACAGCATGATTCAATACCTTAAAATGAATATCTTTAGATAGGGAGATAGAAAGAAAGAGAAAGTTGATTCCTGTTATTGATAGTAGTTATGTTCTGTAAAATCAACATTAACACTGAATTTGAAAATGCTGAATTGCTCCTAAAGGAAATATAGGGTAAGGTTCAGAAAATTTTGAAAATTCAATAAAGTTTAAAATCCTCAGTAATTGTTCATATGTGTACTTATGGTAGGGTGCAGACCCTCTTACAGACTAGTTGAATAAACTTGATTTGGAATAGCAAGTATATCTTCATGAATATCTTGTCTCTGGTTTGTGGTTGCTTTTGTTATGATGAAATTAATAGAAATGTCCTAACATGGCAAACTAAGTTAATTTTTTCTAACAGTATCTGACATTCAATTGACTTGATGTATCCACCTTTCCAAAAATTATTACAATTCATAGAAACTTAATGTTGTATATATACAATATATTAATGTATGCATTTAAAAATTATTGAGCACTTACTATATGCCAGGCACTGGGTGCTGGGAAAACATTCCTGAACAGGTAAGATCCAGACCCTGTACTCATGTTGCTAACAACCTGGTAGAAAGAAGAAACAAGAAATGTGGGAACAACAGTAAAAAAATGATAACTTATCCATAAGCAAGAAAATGGAGCATACTAGTCTTTATAAGTTCAGTCTTCACTGGAATCATTGGGAAATATCTGCTGGGCTAAAGTTAGAAACTAAGACATAAAGTACATGCATTTGTCAAGACAAAGGTTTACATCTCCAGGGGACTGGAAGGCTGGTATCTTACTTAGACCTGGGAATCGAATCTCATGAATTAAAAGAGAAGTGACTTTGAGAAACAAGGCTCAAGGAAAGGTCTGCATCCTAAAAGAAGTATGATAATAGTGGGTATTATAATCTTGACTTTAACTGAGAAATGGGAATTGACCAATGAGTGTGTTTGCTTAGTTCACTTGCTCAGAATCACTGAAAATTGATTAAGCATATAATTCTATCAGTTAGAAATAGCAGATGAAGGATTCTCATCAGGAAAATAAAAAAACAAGAGAAAATTGTCAATCTGTGTAAATATCTATGAAAAAGTACATCCCCTTCTTCACCTCCAGATAGTAGCTAAGAAAGTTAACCTAATCCTGACAACATTCTGAAGTTGAACAATATGGAACCTATCTCAAAAAATTGCAGAAATTAAATATGTAAAGCTATAGTGATCAAGACAGTATGGTATTGGCAAAGGAATAGACAAATAAGTCAATGGAATAGAATAAAGAAACCACAAATAGACCCACATAAATACAGTCAGCTTATCTTTGACAAAGGAGCAAAGGCAATTCAATGGAACAAAGACAGTTGGTCAAGAAATGGTGCTGGGACACTTGCACATCCATATGTAATAAAACAAAACAAAATAAAATAAAAAAGAATCTAGACACAGACTTTACACTTTTCACAAAAATTAACTCAAAATTGGTCATAAATCTAAGTGTAAAATGCTAAAGTGTAAAATGCTATCTCCTAAAAGATGTAACATAGGAGAAAAATTTATATGACTTCAGATTTGGTGATGACTTTCTGAATACAACACCAAAGGCATACTCCATAAAAGAAATATTTATTAAGCTGAATTTCACTCAAATTAAAAAAACTTCTTTGTGAAAGACAATGTCAAGATAATGAGAAAAAAACCACAAACTACAAGAATAAAAAGACAAGTCACAGACTGAGAGACATATCTGTCAAGGATAGTTATCTGAAATGTACAAAGAACCCATAACATTAACTGTAAGCAAACTCAATTAAAAAAAAGAGTCAAAAATATTAACAGATACCTCAATAAAAAAGAGACACAGATGGCAAATTAGCCTATGGAAGTTACTCCACATTGTAAGTTATCAGGGAAAAGCAAATTTTAAAAAATGAGACACAACTACACATTTATTAGAATGAACATAATCTGGAACACTGCCAACACCAAATGCTGGGTAGGGCTTGGAGCAACAGGAGTGCTCATTCATTGCTGATGGGATCGCAAAATGGCACAGCCATTTTGGAAGATAGTTTGGAGGTTTCTTATAAAATTAAATGTACTCTTACCACATGATTCAGTAAAGGATAAAGTGCTTCTTGGCATTTACCCCCAAAAAGTCGGAAACAATTTGGACAAAACTTGAATGTGGATGTTTATAACAAATTTATTCATAATTCCCAAAACTTGGAAGTAACCAAACTGTCTTCTCAGTAAGTGAGTGGAGAAACTATGCTGAATCTAGACACTGGAGTATTAAACATTGCTAAAGAAATGAGCTATCAAGTCATAAACAGACAAAGAGAAACCTTAAATGTGTATTGTTAAGTGAAAGAAGACAATATGAAAAACTACTTGTTATATGAATTCAACTATGACATCCTTGAAAAAGGCAAAACTGTGGAGACAGTAAAAAGACCAATAATTGGCAGATGTTGCCAGGGGCAGGAGGCATTCTCAATAGTGAAGCATAGTACACTTTTAGGATAGTGACAAAAAACACTATGTAATATTATAACGATGGACACATGTCAGTGTACATTTGTGTAGGTTCATATAATGTATGACACCAAGAGTGAAGCTTAACATTAATTATAGACTTTGGGTGATAATGATGTGTTGGTGTAGGTTCCTTAACTGTAACAAATGAACCACTCTGATGGGAGATGTTGATAATGGGGGAGACTATGCATGTGTGGCAGTAGTAGGTATATGGGAAATCAATAAATATTCATCTTTATTTTGCTGTGAACCTAAAATATCTCTAGAAAATATCTCAGAAAATAAATATGATCATGATGATGTGGTAGAGAGTAGTCTGAGCAAATTTAAAGAGGCAAGAAACTGCAGTGCATTTAAGTTCAGTGGTGCTGGAAATGCAAAATTGAGTCTGGAAGAGGTGAAAGGAGGCAGCTGAGAGTCAGAAAGAAGTTAAATTGTGGAAAACTTAGTGCTTTACTTATGAAACTCAGACTTCATGCAATAGTGGATGGGGATCTGATTAGAGTTCTAAAAAAGGAAGTACTATGAATAAACTTGTGTTTTAAGATTTCTGAAATAGTTGTGAAAGGGATAGATTTGAAGGGATAAAACCAGGAACAGTAAGATTAGTACCTAAGTCACGGCTTTGATCCATGGCAAAGAATGGACCGAGGGTGGAAATAAGTGATGGGACAGGAAAAGACATACTAGGTGTTAAAAATGTGTAATTGAATGTGTGGAAAGACAGATAAGGAGAGTTCAACAATGACACACACATTTCTATCATTGGTGGGAACTCTAAAAAGCCAAGGGATGTGAACTTCTTACAAAAGGCTAATGAGACATTAGTGGATATCACTGATGCAAGTCTTTAGCAGTGAGCTACAGATTTATTTTATTCTCATTAAGTAAACTGCTTTTTAATTATGCATCTGTATTTGCATAAGTGTGGGTTCACCATGTATCATACAGAAATTGAAACAGTCCTCAGAAGCTGATGACATAAATTTGAGTCCAACATTGGTTACAGATTATTGTGTGACCTTCAGTTAGTTACTTAACTTTCATCTCTTTAAATATTAAATAAAATTAAGGAAGATCTATTAGATTAAAGGTGATATGTGAAGCAGGATGCATAAAGTAAAAACTATAAAAGCAAAACTATTTACCTTAGTATGAATTTTCTCCCAAACTTTTGTAGAAATAAGTATATTAAATATGAAGTCAATATAGGATTGTGGTCAATAAAATGATGTCTAAAAGACTGAGGAACAGGTCCTGGTTCTGTCAGCTCCTAACTGTGTGACTTTGAAAAAAATTCAAAAATCTCTTCATGTCTTAATTTCCTCTTTTATAAAATGGGGGAAATAATGATACCAAACTCATAGGCTTGGTGGGAAGACTGTATAAAATTATAAATGTAAAGTACTTAACATATCTTCTTAAACTCAACAAGCACCAAATAATTATTAATTATTATCACAAATACTTAAATTTATGTGTATCTGTATATTAATCACATGTATCATATAGGCATATTTACTCAGTTGATTCATATAGAATTGCCAACATTCAACCATTTTGACTCACAAAAATGGCAATGTCCTATAGTTAGATCATATATATTATTTATAGATAGTGACTTTATTATCTCCTTTATGCTGATTTTCTTAGGCAACCACTAGTTTCAGGACAGAGTTGAATTTATTGTCCACTAAGTTACTATTTTTCTACTCTTTATTAACAATTATGAGAGAAGCCACAAAAAGCACAGACTGAGGCCAAAAGTACTATTGGATTCTGACTTAGAGTTGTGTAAATTTGGATAAGTTACTTAACCTCTCTAAGCCTCAGTCCCTTCTTTCTAAAATGAAAAAAATACATAAAATTATGATATGTATTAAATGAGATAATGTATGCAGATGTATAGCATATAGGCCAACCAATCATGGGCACTAAAAACTGTTAGCCATTAGTATGCAAATCATTAATTATTCACTTAAATTACATTTTCTACAGTTCACATTATATTTTCTGCCCTGCAACTTCTTTTGCTTTCCTCCCCTTTCCTCTTCTTCCCACCCTTCCTCTCCCCCTCTTCCCTTATATTTTATTTCCTTCCCTGACCTTTCTCCTCTTTTTTTCCCATTTCCTTTCCTTCAATTTATTTTTTAATAAGGAACAATTGTGGCTGACAATGTCTACATTGTTGTGGATATATATGTCTATAAAAGAACCTTTTCTGGAAGATAATATCTCGTTTTATTTTATATACTATTATTATATATGTTATATATATAATATGTAACTTTGGGGGTAAGAAATACCTGTGAATTTATTTTTGTAAGTGTTGTTCACATACCCAATATTCCATCTCATCTTAGAAAGTGAAAATACGAATATAATATTAATCTATGTACCCTTCCTATTTTCTTGTAAAAATATGTAATAAAATAAGAAAATTTAAAACTGTTGAGATCAATGAAGAGTGTTATACACAATCCTTGAAAGAGAGAAAAACTTAATTGAAACCTGACTGTGTTTAAAACAGCATTTAAATGGCCCCAGAGAGGGCAATTTGGTTATGAATTTTGGTTATCTTATTTTCATTAAGTAACTTCTTACATAAGCATCTGGGTTTACATAGGTTTGAGATTGCCACGTATCCTCCTGAGAATGAAAGAGCCTTGAAAACAAGATGAAGTACAGTTGAGTCCCACTTTAGCCATCGATCATGGATGAAAATGGAGGTATGTGAATTGAAGGCTCATCTCCTGGAAGTAGCCATTGGTAACTCTAACTGATGTGCCCTTGCTTTGTACACAGTGTACCTATTTGCCATTGCCCTACCCTGTCTGTGGGCACAGCTGTGGTCATTGTGAAGTGCAGTGGTATATGTGCTTCCAGCATTTGTCTCTTTAACTTCCAGGACCTTGTTAAGTAAACACTGAGTGTGTAGTAAATGACATCAAGTTAATCAAGTGACTAGAAGACTGGGCATTGCTTTGAGATCAATTTTCCCCGATCTATCTCCTGACCTCTAGTATGAATGGCAAGAGG